TTTGAATTCTTAATATTCTTCATCCTGTTGTCCTTACAAGAAATTATGTTCTAAGCTTCTAGAGTTTTGATCAGGGCATCTTAAATTCCTTATTCTCTGGCGCATTCCTATGCTCCTTCCCCTTTCTCTTTCCTTTTCCTTAATATGTATTATTTAAATGCTGCCTGTTATTTGTTCCCTGAGTTCTATTCATTGTACGCATTCTTTAATACATATAGATTAAAAATTATTTTCAGGACAACGAAAAGCTCGATTTACCTGGAAAGATCCCCATTTAAACATTAAATATACTGAAAACATCACAAGTTACATTCAAATTTGGAAACTTCTGTTCTTGTCTAAGGTGGTATGGCAGGTAGACGGTGGGAGGGTCTCATACTTTGATTAATCATTACTTTGGAGGAGAAGGGCTATTTGTCACAGATACACAGTAACATCTACTCTCTAAAAAAGAAAGAGGAAAATAAGGAAAAAAGATTGTGCATTTGGGAAAGAAAATTGCCTGGGGCAGCAGCAATACTGAAGAATAAAATTTCATAAAAGGAGCTGACAATAAACTGTGTGGTATAATATTAATTGGAAAATGAAAGGGTAAAAAAAAAACTCTTCTGAAATTAGTTTGGAAAGATTAATGTATGTGATTGTATAAGAATATTTTTAGAGAAAAGAGCAAGGCAGTTAACATCTGACATCACACTGTGTCAGAGAAACAATAAACATAATATACAAGAACACTATATTTAACAATCATTATTAAACAAAGAGAAAAAGAAAAGCTATTGAATAAGTTACTAAGATAACTGGATAGCAATATGGAGAAAACTGAGAGCAAATATCAACCTCCAACTTATACCAACACAACTATACATGGATGCTAAATGAAGGACAAAAATAACAATTAAAAAGCAGAAAAAAAAAAAACTCCTAAAGACTACCAATACTATGAAACAAAGACAAATTTTAAAGGATGGAAATACTCTATATAAAAAGAAAAAATGGTCAGATTTAAAACACAAAATGTCTAAGTATAACAAAATTTAATAAAGCCATAGAGAATAAAGAACAGATTTACAACAGATTTGAGAAACATTTGCAGAAAGGAGTAATCTCTAAAATATTTAGAAAGCTTTTGCAGTTTTATCCCAATAAATAGCCAAAGTAGAGTTCAAATGAAGTACAATGAGTAAACAAGGCAATGGAAGATGTTCGATTTAGTTGGCATCCAAGAAAATTGAGTTAAAATAAGAATGAATCACAGACATTGAATAAAACCTACTGAATAACAATAATAAGAAAGATAAGGTATACAATTTTATTTATTTATTTTTGTATTTAAAAAAGTTATTTGGAGGAATTTTAGAACTTCTATAAAAATGTTAGATGTAGTAGAACAGATTACCACAAACCTTGCATCTGGCATTTTTTTCTGATTTTTACATATTTCTATATTTTTTTATTTTCTTTGGAGTCTTAAATATGCTATTAATGTCTTTTTTGGTATGCTTATGTACTATGGCCAAAATGTGCCTAAAAAATCCAGAATCTAGAAAAGAAAACTCGAAGAAATT